TGTGAAAACATTAAATGATTTGTTTTTGTAATACAAATAAAAACAATTCAATGATTGAGTCATTCATTCATTCAATGATTTGTTAACGAAATTGAATTAATGTTTGAATTAATTGTGAATTAATTGTTGAGATTTAGTGCCGAAGAAGTAGAGGAAGAAAATGAGTGATTCGTCGACCACTTCTTCGGACAAGAGTTCAGATGACGAACAGTTTTATGACGCCATCAGTGATGAAGAAGTGGTGAGAAGTGATCCAAATGTGATCCAAACGGAGACCAATCACCACAACATCGCCGCCAAAGACACCACTCATTTGAACGCCAATAAAATGAGTGAATCCGTGGCCTCCGGTAGTCTTCAGATGACGGACAGCGGTCTCTATTCGTCGCAATCGAGTGATGCAAACGATTTAGTCTCAGATCTGGTCTCAGAGACGGTTCCCGATGTCGTCCCCAAAATGGCCAACAAATGTCTCACTTCTAAGAAGACTTCGGAACCAATTATTAATATCTCTGTTATCAACGACAGCGACGACAAGTCATCGACTGTACCATCGCTTCCAACGCAACCAAAGCCTCCGCCAAGAGTTAGGAAAAAGAAATTAAATAATAATAATCTGTCTCTCAATGCAACCAATGTGTCCACCGGTGAGAGTGTCGGCGCCGGGAGTGCCGTCAACTACAATATCCCGCCTAATATAGTGTCCAAGTCTTGGGCGGATCCAAGAGATTCTCTGATGGATGTGAACAGTCTATCATATCTGCAACCGTTGAATAATTTCGGAAACTCAACGAATATAACCAAATTTCTGGACGATATCGCGAGCATTAAGGGTGACCTCAGTCTCAATGAGGCCTTCCTGTCCACTATCGGCGACCGCCGGAGTGTTTACGTCGAAGAGATGCCAAAATTGAGTCGAGAACTGGTCCTCAAATCGGATGACTTGACGGCATCGATGGCACAAATGGCACAGTCATTGAAAGAGCCCAAAGAACAGGAGGTCTTGAATCAGATAATGATTCTGAATATCGATACCGGAGAAAGAGTGCCCTTAAGTAAAGCCGAAGAAATACTCCCCAAATGTTTGAATCCTTTGAGTTTACATTTGATGAAATTGACGAACGATTTCTGTGAGGGAGACGTCTGTTCCATCGCTTCCGGAATGACCGCTCAGGAGAGCCTCTTGAGGGACAGCGCTTTCGATGACGAAGACGATGACGACCGCAATGGAAGCGATTCCAGGAAAGAGAAACTTAAGAAAGGGATTAAAATTTTGCGTAAAAAGTCGGGAAGTTTTTGGAGAGGAGTGAAAGGCGTGAAGAGCGCCGGCAAAGAGAGATCTACTTTTCACGTGGAGCTGAAGACACCGCACGTCGAGTCCGAACCTCTGCCCCGATATAAGATCAAAGTTAACCATAAGAGGGGAACTCCCGATTTCGGTGGCCTTAAACTACTGCAAGAGTTATACGACTGCAAGGGAGCGATTTGGGTCATGAAGTTCAGTGTTGACGGACAACTGCTGGCGGCCGCCGGTCAGGACCACCTCCTCAGAGTCTACTGCAGCCAAAAGTCATGGAAATATTACACACAATTGCGAAACAAGGCTTCCGGTCAACAGATATCTCCCAATTCGTCTAAAGAGCGCGACACTAATGGCTCGTTCGGACGATCCGTTTCGCTGCAGAGGAGTTGCAGTCTCTCGAGTGCCGAGAACTTGAAGCTCGAAACGTCGAGCACTAGTTTCCCGAATCATATTCTCTACGAAGACAACCAACTCAGCGAAGAGGGACCTATGCTTCTGTTCAGCGCATACCGCGGCCACACCGCAGACGTGTTGGACATCGCGTGGTCTAAGAATCACTTCCTGTTGTCGTCATCGATGGACAAGACGGTGCGTTTGTGGCACATCACACGCATCGAGTGTTTGTGTACTTTCCGTCACATCGATTTCGTTACGACCATTCAATTCCATCCCAGAGATGATCGCTATTTCCTGAGCGGTTCCCTCGACGGGAAGTTACGGTTGTGGAACATTCCCGACAAGAGGGTCACCCTTTGGAATGAAGTGATGGCTTTGCCGACCCAACAGTCACGGAGTAGCGCAACGCAAGAGTCAGTTCCCGCCCACGGACTCATCACCTCTTCATCTTTCGTCCAAAACGGAAAGTTTGCAGTCATTGGCACTTATGACGGAAGGATTATCTTCTACTCCACGGATCAGCTCAAGTACTTCACACAAATCCATGTCAGCGGTAGCGGTAAGAACAGTTCGGCGCAGATATCAAATGCCAACAGCGGTAGTGATCGCCGGCGCCGACGAAACAACAATAAGGTTACGGGCATTGAGAGCGTCGACGATAACAAAATTCTGGTCACAACTAATGATTCCCGACTCAGACTCTACGACCTGAGAGACCTGTCGCTGACGTGTAAATACAGGGGTGTTGTGAACGAGTCGAGTCAGATCAAGGCCTCCATCTCTCACGACAGCAAATATATAATCTGCGGCTCAGAGAACGCCTCCTTCTATATATGGAGACTACAGGACAACACGACTATCGGTCAGCGCCGCGACCGCAATAAGCAATACGAATGCATTCGCCTATTGCCGCCCCAACCGCCGCATCCCATGACAGACGCCATGCAAATGCCGAGTCCGCCACCGATGACCACGAAGATCGTCACGTCGGCCATCTTCGCGCCCGTCCCCACACAGATCGACGAAAACGGCAAATATATTATAGCCGTCGCCGACTTCAACGGCAATATTCGCATTTTCTCCAAACATAACGATTGACTTTCGCTCTCATTTATGATTTGATTCACAATTGATTATATTTTTCTAATTTTTTAATATAACGCTTTGCTTTCGGCCTTAACTTTATTTAAGTTTATTATTAAATATATTTCTAACCAATAATAATGTTTCAAAACATATATATTTTAATGTTTAATTTTATTAAATCCTATTATTAATCCGGATTTTGTGTTATATTTACACGTTATGAATTGCGAAACCCTTTTTCAAAGTTGTTTTCATTATAAAAATCAAAACTACTGTATATTTACCTATTTTTTACACAAATTGAATCAGAAATAAAAAGAAAATAATTTCTCAAAAGAGTGTATAATTAATATAATAATGATTTTAATCGTATTTATATTATGTATACATTATATAATTATTAATTATTTATATTTACGTTATATTCACAAAATTCAAATCAATTACAATATAATACAACTGATATTTACATTCAATTAAATTAGATTTAATGACAGAAAAACAACTCTTTTTTCATAAGCAATGTATTCAACGATTAATAACTTAAACTTAAATGAAAATATTTGTTACAATTTTCATAACATTATAAAACAAATCGACAAAAATAATCAAAGATTGAAACAATTATTATTCGCACAATAAATCTAACAATTCTGTTGTAATTTTATAATTAAACATACATTTCGAGGGAAATAAGTAAAAACTAAATCAAAAGTTGGGTTTAAGTGCCTAAAGAAGTAGTGGAATAAAGTCGAGTCAAAAAATACATGTTTTTGTTAAATTCACACAACTTTCAGAATTGAGTGAATTATTTCCTGAATTTTATCAATTAATCTCTAAAATTACATTTCCATCACTTATTTGTGAGTTATATTTAGAACCGGTTTTTGATTTGAATAATTTATTCAACAAAATATTATTTCAAAAAGTATTGTTTTTGAATCAAAAATAATAAACTTTTCGCACAAAAATATTGTCAAATGAAAAACATTTCAATATATAAAATACAATCAAATCCTAAAAAGAGCTGAAATTAATTTAATAATAAATAATCAAAGAGTGAATTAAACTCTAAAAAATTATGAGAATTAATAATAAAATATAAATACAAAACGATTAATGAAAAGGAGATTAAATTAAGGAATGAGTCAATGATTTGGAAATAAGCGTCAATTGAAATGAAATGTTGAGAAAATACAAAATAAAATCTCGCAAAACAATGAATGAATGATTTTTGAGAGGTGTCGTCAATGTATGGGTGAATGTTTGAAACCTGAGGACTGGTGTCTTCTCATGTCGATGTCATTGCGAGCGGAGGCCATGAGTGCCTCCTCGTCCACCCCGTGTTGGGCACGAGTTCTCAACAAACTGTTGTTATTGTTGTTGTTTTTATTATTGTTATAAAAACCATTATTTTTGCCTCTCGTTATATACTGTTCTCTCTGTGAATGAGTGCTATTAATGTTATAATAAAAATCTTCATTCGAGTCAATCAATTGATTTGATGGCCTGTTGTTAACAAAGAGGTGAATAATATGTAAGTATGGAATTTAGGACCAAAATAATGATCAAAAACTTACAATTTATTTGGATTTTTTGAACACATGTTTGCATTAAACTGTGTGTCTAAACGACGCTTAAGTTTTTCAATAGTTTCGTCGATTTCTTGGATTAAAATAGCATTAAAAACAATCATTTTTTAAAATAATTGTATAATCGATAAATGGATTGAATACCGAATGTGAACTTCTGTTCCGGTTTTTTCTTTGGTATTTTATAACCAGTAAATGAGGTTCGGGTCAACACTGGCACTAACGATGCGAACGGTTTGTCCTCTTTGGGCGAATTGATTATATTCGAGGGCGACATGTGTTTGGGCTTAAGGAGAGAACGCGGAGACTGTCTGTAATTTATTGTCGACTTCTTGTCCGGTGACGGCATCTTAAATGGACTGTCAGTGTTGTTATGCAAACCATTCACTGGCACTGAATTGTATTTCATTTGGTGTTTCGGAGACGACAACCCATTCAATGGTTTATCGCTTTTGTTTTTATTTATTAAACCATTTAATGGATTAGTGGACGCGTTTGTGGATACCGTTCGCGGCATTTCATTAACAGGTTGTCCGCCTTCTTGTGAGGGGTGGTCTGGTTTGCGTTTGTATTGCGAAACATATGTTTTTGCGTATGGATTAGGATTTAGCCTATTATTTGTGTCACATTTTGACAATCGTCTCAATTGTCTAACAATACAATTGGTTTTAATTTTGTTTTCAGTTTCATTATAACTATATATAACACTATTGTTAACGATATCACAAACAAGTCTTGAATTATCATAAGACAACTGCACACTCTGTACCGGCGGTTCTTCACTCTCATTGATTCCTAATTGAAATCAAAAACAATATTATAATAAAACAGTTTTATGGCCACTAATCATGCATTAATCCAATAATTATATGCAGTAAAACTAAATACCGTATCATTAAATCTAATAAATCATTGATTTAAGTATATAATTATCATTCATAAAGGCATGCAATTTATTATAACATTTGATTTTTTGATTTAAATTTTAAACTTCAATACAATACTAACTTTAATGAAAAAAATTAATGTGTAATAAATAAATAATAATAAATACAATTGAAAGCGTGATAATAATAGTAAGTATTAGAGACAAAGAGATATCTGACCGGCAAATGATTTAATGGTATTTTCAACAGTGTTTTGATGAGACGAAAGCCAATTGCGTTTGACTTTTTCGCGCCGACATATCATATACGATAAATTGCGGATTCTTTCCAAATCGACTCGCATTCTGAGGATTTCGTTTCGCTGTTGTTGTTGTTGTTCCTGGAATTGTGCCGAAGACGTCAACGGTATGAGAGACGCCCCGTAATTGGAGGTTCGCTTCAGTTTCCAGTACTGCACTATAAAGTCCAGAAAATTCATACTTTTGCTCACACTATAGCTCGCGTCCGTACGAATCAACTGTCAAATCAATCAATCGATTAATGCTATTATAATCGTCGATTCAAACTAATGATGCGAACCTCTTGTTGTACTTTATTTATATCAATGTATTTCCAAAAATCACTTTCATGTTTGTCTTCATCTTCTGGAATATTAGTCGCGATTTCGATCTCATGTTGTGTTTTGGGCAAAAAGGACTGATTGTCAGTCGACTCGCCCTTCGCTCTAAGGGTTGGCAATAATAAAATAATTAGTTTTGAAATTAATTATAAAATAAATTCAATTGTTTCAACACATACTCGGCTTTTAAGACGTTCCCGTCGTCGTCGACGTCACCTTTTTCTGTGTGTTTCTTACAATAGGACTTCAGTTTTACTCCTTTTGTTTTATCACTTTCTACTATAGCTTTCATTTTTAGCTTATGATTGAACGCACAAATCACATGATAAGCAATTTTGCATGTCTTCACCTGATTTGCAAAAATATTAAACAGTTAGACAATTGAAGATAAGGCTGATTAATGTGGTGATCAAAAGCACATACCGAGCACTGTATGGGTGCCCCCTGTTTGACGTTACAGAGGGAACAGATGAGATTCCAACGAGTTTGAGGTATTTGTTTAATTTTAGTGATCGGTTCCATTGTACTGACACAACCGATGCTCACTTCGGGCACCCATAGAGCGCAGGACACGTGCGCCCATTGCTTTGAACTACTGGTTGGCTTTAAGGCACCGCCAAAATTTGGACACAAAACACATGATATATTCTTTTGGGAACCTTTTGGACACAAATTATTCAATATTTAGTTAAAAAGAGAATAAATGAGTGAATTGAATGCGTGTGCGAACCGAACTCCTTGCAGGGCCTGCAGAGCCAATCGCCTTCGGGTATGTCAACGATGCCATAACAGGCCTGATGTACACATATGTTGCAGAGATCGCAAAACACCATTTCGTTGCCCTCTTCGGCGTCAGGACTCCGAGTCTGCAGCGTTTACTACACTAGCAGCATAAGTTACGGGTGAACTGCACAGAAATATAAAGACCGCGTAACGACAAGGTTTACCAATTAGTGAAGAAGGTTAACCAATAGTGAATAAACACCGCATATATCGCATTCTGTCATCGCTTCCAACCAACACAAGTCCTTCAGATCTAACTCGTAGTTCGACGCAATCGGTTCCGATTCGGGACGACTCTAAGCATCCAAAAAATGGTATTACAATTAATGCCACGAATCTCTTCATTGGATACAAACCTTAATTAACTTCTTCGGGAGTTTGAATGGATTGTCTGTCGTCACGCATTCGCGCAAAATCTTCACCTGAGGTTCGGGTAAAATGTCGGGATTGACGGCAACCTATTGTCACGGGAGGAACGCATTCAATGTATTCGTGGCAATCATATGGTGGACAATGTCAACAAACCTGAACCCCTTTCTCCCACTCCTCTCTCCACGAGTCAGTGATTGGCAGATATTCCTCGCGATTCAGTTGTTCCGTGTCCGCCATTTTCATGGCTTTAATCCGCAAAGAAAACAGAGTTTAACATTAAAATCAAATTAAATGCAAACACTTTTGGCGCCAAATAATGGTGTCATGACTACTGACCAGAGATGAGATCTTTGCGGAAGAGTTCGGCGGGTTTTTTACGGTAACCGAAGTTATAGATCCGCGATTTGTTGACAGCATTCATGTCATTCACTCGACAACAATCTGTTGGACAACAAAACAATAGTCAATGAATCCAATTATCATTTGTGTGTTTGTGTCGCGACAACTGGTCCGACAATTACCGGGTTTGTGGCGTTTGGAAGCGTTGCCCTCTTCTTCGCAACCGATGCCTACTTTGCTTCGACTTCTTTTGCCTACAAATCAATGCAAAAATCAATTAAAATTTGCCGACAATTAAGTAAATTGTGTGCAAAAAATGGGATCAAAATTAGCGCAAAAAGTGAAACAATTGGTCGGAAAGCGGAGAACAGACCCGATATGACAGCGCCTGAGGCCGAAGACGAGCTCATGGTTTGGCCACCAATTGATCGCCAGAAGTGTCTAATCACTGGTTTTGATCACCAAATCAATCGTTTCCAACCATTTAAGACATATTCAAAGCGACAGCCATTTTGAAAGTGTTTGTGTTTTTGCAATGTTTTCAATGCTTTCAAATGCAGAGAGACTGACAAACACTCCACTCATAAACAGTTACCCACTCTTCCTATTACTTTCCCGATCGCAACCTTTGCATCACTTTTACCATTCAATTCATTGCATTTCTTTCAATACTTTTTATTAATCAAATCAAAACTCATTATTTAGTAATTATTTCTCATAAATCCCAATGTATTTAATGTTTCAATAGTTTTAAAGTAATTGCAAAACAATTGCCGGGAATATTAGGGAATTCCTGGGAATCGCTCATTACATAAATTATTCAATGGTCACATGATTTAGCATTGGGTGACGTAATGATTGAATATGACAACAGGTGAGTTGGATTGTGCCAAGCTCAATTTGTTTAATCAACTTCTAGTTATTGAATTATGCTTTAATTTTCTAACAATTAATTTCACACAATTTGTTAATTCAATTAAAAATCAGTGCTTTTATTAAAATCATAAGTTTTTCATACAAAATGTGTTCAATAAATGGCATTCAATACAAGACATAAAAATTCAAAATTTGAGCGGTTTTTTGAAAATCATTAAAAAGTATTAAAAACAAAATTTAATTACAGTTATTGTGAACTAATATATAATTAAGCGATTAATCACACACTTTATGATTTAGTGCTGAAAAGTAATACTTTTTAATAGTCCTGTTGAACGTAATCCGGATGTACGACAAGAATAGGGTCGGAAACGGACTCTTTTTCGGTGGTCTCAGTGCTAATCGGTTGTGACTCCTGTGAGGCCTGAAGTGCTATAAGGATGTGATCAGTATTTATGAGTTTGTCGACCACTCGATCGCAAACAAGTTTCTTGTGAACCAAATCGGCTTCGGTTTCGATGTCCTGACACTGATTCAGATACCATTCGATGAGTTCTGAACGCCTGATGCCATCGCTCTCTCCCTCTTCTATCTTGAGTTCTTCCCTTTGGAGACGAATGACAA